GGCCATTCGTAATTACCTTTCGCAATAAATAAAGCATTTATTTTAAAATGTTATTAAGCGAGTGCCTCACACACACACACACACACACATGCGCCGCATTCTTCTGCAGCTAAATCATTATTTTTGGCTTCATTTATTTGGTTTAGCTAAAAATTAGCTTGGGGTAGAGAAAGCCTGCACAAGTGATAAAATATTAAATAAAATGCAGAAAATAAAGAGAGTGCCAGAGAGAGGAAGATAGGGAGAGGGAGAGTGAGAGTGAGACAATAGAACCGGCTGCAACGATTACGAATGTGACAAGAGAATCCAACACCGAAATGAATAATGTAAATACGCCAAGTGTACAAAGTTTTAATTGTTATCATGTTTTGTCTGAGAGCTGCTGCTGTGTGTGCGTGTGCGTGTATGTGCGTGTCAGTGTCTCGGTGTGTGTTTGGCATGCACTTATGGCCAAGATGTATCCATTTACGCCTGGCTAAGTTTTACGTTGCGTATACGACATATTCCCCATTCAGCTCGAAGCGTGTCTATGTAACTACGGTGCATGTGTGTGTCAGTGTGTGTGTGTGTGTGTGTACGTGTGTGTGTGTTCTTTTGTGTGCGCATAGCTATGGATCTGGTCTGGAAAAGTTTTCCATTTTGCATACATGCCTTTAAGCTGCACTTTCGCTGCGCCGTCGAATTTTAAGTTTGATGAGCTCAGGAAATATTTAAATCAAGCTAATCCTGTAGAAAAGTTAAAGTACTTTTAGCTTTATCGCCACGCGGATAATGTGGCGATAAATGAAGAAAAAAATGTACTGATGTTGCAATAAATCATGCAGCTGAGAATGCGTATTCCAGAGCCTAATACATGTTTATATTTATTTGCCGAAACAAATATGTTTGTTTTCCTTAAAGTTGCATAGTTGTTATTATTATTTACTTGACCTTTTAAATGATTTAATGATAGGCAAAATTTAAAAGATAAATCGTTTTGGGATGTCTCAATTCGCTGCAAGCTGAACTTTAAAAGCAACTTCTGTGTGTGTGTGTGTGTGTGTGTGCAGCTGATTTGCATAGCCATATAAACATATTTATTTTCATTTTCATTTATTTGTGATGCTTTTTCCTATTTGTATTTCATTTTTTCTTCTTTTTTTTTTATTTATTTATTGTGTGTGTGCAGGAAAAGTCAGACTTTAGCACAGCTCTCAAGCATGCAAATCCAGAATATTTGTGGCTCACTGTATTTATTTGGCACAAATTTTAAGTGATTTATGCTTGCCGCAATTGCCTCTCAGCTCCGACCGCAAAATCTACGCATAAACCACAGGAAAACTAACGTCGACTACACAGGGGCGGTTGCTGTTCGGGCTGGACATGGAGATATAAACACAAGTACAAACACATGGACACGCGCGCTGCATGGATATGCATATTTATTTGGCAGGACTTTACTTATGCTAAATTTTATGGCACACAAAACTCAAGCAATTTTGTTTGCCAAATTCAGATGCAGGCGCTCGAGAAACACGAGTGTCCACTGTGTGTCCACTGTGTGTCCACTTTGTGTCCGCATCGGACTGCCGTGCAGTCCAGCTCTCTGTGGCAAGTCGTATGCTATAGATTTTTGTGCGAAATTATAGTCCTGGCTTGCGGGCGGGCGGATGTACGGTATACTTTGAGTACAGTGTGCACTTATTTATTTGATAATAATTTCAGGATTTTCTCAATGGCAAAAACAAACTAATTTTGGATTGGTCTAGCATGGTGGGAGGCAACTCTTTTGTCTAAATAAATAATGAAAATGTCATAACAAGAGAGAGAAAGCGAGTTGCATACGCACGCACACAATTGCAACATGTAGCGTGCATCTTCTGTATCGTAGTCGCTTGGTATCTGTGCAACAGCAAGATGCTCGGGACCCAGCACTTGTGCGGCACAATGTTTATGTAAATGACATTTGCACTGATTACGCATGCAGCCGGGCGTCGTCTTGGCCAGCCATTCAACGGAATGCATCGAGTGCAATATAAATATTTTACATAGATTTTACATAGCTGATTGAAGTCGTGCGCATATGCTAAGCCCACAGCTACGTCTTGGAACAGCCCCGAGAGCCCTCCCCCCTCCTCACTCCTCCCCTATAAATTACCCAGCATGGCAATCACACGAAACCAAATCAAATCAATGGCAAAGCGCCGTCCCGCCCGTGCACTAGTTGGCCAGCGCTTATAAGTATGCTACAGTTTCTGCCAGGCAACTGTGCTCGCGTTATTTGCATATGGGCCGGCCGTAAGCCTAATTGAAGCGCCAGCGTTGCCACCCTGTTAACGACTAGCGTACGCTCACCCTCTTTAACTCTCCCTCTCTCACTCTCTCACTCTCTTCCTTTCTCTCTCTCTTTTGCTGCAATTAATAGCTAATTTCGAGCGTGCCTGTTAAAAATTTCCCCATTATTTATGATTATTTGTTTATTGCTTGCGGGTCTTTTCTTCTATCTACCTGACAGCATTAACACCCTAACACACACACACATAGCCGCAACACCCGCACAACCCTATGCAAAAACGCCGCCAGCAGCTTTTGGTTGCAATTTTGTGGCCTTCTGCTGGGCGATAAAGTAATCGCCGTTATTCGGGCTTATGGCGCGAGCCACACACACACACACACACACACACACACACAGCGAGTAACATGTGTGTGTGTTTGGAAATGTTTACGACTTGCGTGAAATCGCGTCATATGAACAAGTTCATAAAAGCATACAATTAATTGTGTTAAAAGAGTGAAAATGTTTTGGATTTTTATTACTGTTGATTGTGTAAAATGAACCAGTTCGTCACGAAATTTAGATACTAGATTGGAGTTTGGAACCGTTTACTGGTTCAACTTTAAAAAGTGGCATTTCGACTTCAAGAAAGCGAACTACTTGAAGTGAGCTGCAAAATAAGTTCAATGTTAAACGGAACTGTAGATATTAAATTAAATATAGACTAAGGCAGCTCGGTTTTTGCTCCCTAAAAGACTGCCAAAGCAGAACGGCAGACAACTTGGAACTATGTTCAATCGATTGGACTGGAATAGCCCAGAAATACTTCCGGTAACGGTAGCAAAAGACAGCGGCAGCCGAGGCTGCAACTGGAGCTTCAGCCAAAGCCGAAGTGGAAAGGCGTCATTTAGTCTGCGGTTAGGTGCACGTACGTTTTACAGGTTTTCCTTTCATATACACGCATACATATACGTGTCTATTTAGTTGTTTTTCCTCTCATTTTTCGCTTCGTTTTTCCACTTTTTTTTTAACGCGTTGTTTCGCTAACGTTGTTCGCGTTGTTGCGGTTGCAGCACGTCCGTACGTGTTTATGGCGCGCATATCCGCAAATATGCAATCAGACTATAATCTACTTAATGTCTTTTTCCAGCAACAACAAACCCAAACAACAACCGAATAAAAAGGAAAGAAAAATGCGCATGGAAAATGAAGTAATGCAGTTGGGAAAAAATTCTAGCTTACGGCCTACGAGGCGTATGTGTAATGTGTGTCTGTGTGTGCGAGTGTGTGTCTGTGTGTGTGTGTGAGAGAGTGTGTGTGGCGCCTTGAAACGACACGGACATGGCACATTAACGGAAATTAGGCAGTCATTTCGCAAAGTAAATTTTTGAAAAGTGCGTGTTTTGTGTATTATTTTTTGTTGCCTACTTTTTTGGGCAGCAGCGAAGCGCGCAACGCTTTGAAGTTGCGCGACGGCACATTTTTGCTTTTAGCTAATTTTAAAGGCAAACAGCAAAAGAAGCAACAGAAACAGCCACAACAACAACAACAACAACGCTAGCGCTGGCAACAAAGCGTGGCAAGAGTGGAAAAAGACGCTGCAAAAATATTTTTGCCTGTAGAGAACATTAGATATTGTTTTTGAGCTGCAGACATGGCGTTTTAGTTTTTAGCAGTTGTTCTGTTGTCCTGCCTGACAAGAACAACAACAGCAACAACAACGACGACTAGGACAACCAGAACAACCAGGACAACGATGACTCGCTGGCTTGTTATTGTTATTGTTATTGTTGTTGCTCGGCTGGCGCACAATGCGGTCATAAAAAGCTGCGCGCCTGCAAGTCGAAGTGCGGCTGCAACAAAAGAAGGCGCCTGCACAGCACAACAATTGAAACAATAAAACGGCTTTAAGGAGCAACTCCACTGGACAACAAGTGCAGTTGGATGAGTGTGGAGGGCGGGTGGAGCTGGGAGTAGAGCGAACATGCATAGATAAAAGCAATTATGGAGCGGATACCTAGCGTTGATAAGGGCTCAACTTTAAAATCAGTGTCGAAATGGAGCCATCGATAACATTATCTAAAATACCATTGTTATCGCTTTGCATTCAATGCGCACTAGAGTGTAGCTTGTAGTTCAAGGAGCGGAGATTGAGGGGGAAGAAAGAGGTTTGGAGGAGAAAATATATTTGATGAGAAAGCGAAATCGGTATATTTATCGAAACTGTTATCGTCGTCGCTTCACAGAACGAGCGGGGGTGTTAAAGAGGGAGAGAATGAGATCGAAAAAGAGTCAGATATACGAATGTAGTCAAAATAGGCCTGAATCTGATATGCAGTTCTTGAGAGAAGGGGAGAAAAGGGAGTTATGGGGAACAATTATATTTAAAGCAAAATCGGTATAGCTTTCGAGTGTTTTCGCTGTTGCCTCAGAGAAAGAGAGGACGAGTGTAAGAGAGCAAGAGAGAGAGAGAGAGAGAGAGAGAGAGAGAGAGAGAGAGAGAGAAATGAAGATACAGTCGATTTATACCTATTTCTGATATTGATATGATCTTAAACCAAAGTCTGAGCTACAATCGAAAGGAGCTCGACATTGTTGTTATTGTTATCGATATTGATATCGCTTTACTGTGCACCAAACTAATTGTGTTATCGATAGCCAGTACGAGCTTCAAGAAATAAAGTAAGAAAGAGTTGGAAGTAGAGGAGTTCAACCATAGATATGTTTCGATGCAGCACTTGTCTAGCTATATTTGATAAAGGATCTACTTTATTAAAGGATGCATTAAACAAAATCGGAGTTGCATAGCAGTTAGAGATCGCCAGCGACAGAGACTGCGACATCATAATCAGCATCGTTTTTGTTCTTGCGTCATTTTCACTGCGCAGTAAACAAACTCTTGACCGTCGCGTCTGTCGTATCGATGGGCAGCTTGTAGTAGCCATCACGGCGTAGGGCTCGCTCCTCATCATCGGCCACGCCATAGATATCCTCGATGGGCTGCATAATCTCCGATTCGTTCGGCAGCAGCAGTTTGCGTGCATCCTTCCGAAATACGGCGACAGCCTTGACCATGCTGTGATGAGCGCGGGCAAAGTGCTGGAAATTGAGGCTCTTACGCTTGGCGGCCAGCTTGCCCTGGATGCGATCCATGCGCGCAATCATACGCAACAATATGAAGCGGGCAAAACGATCTTTAATCTCGAGCAGCGTCAGTTCCGTGTCCCGCTGGCCAAGCGGGCGCATATACGCGGCAATAATGAGGCCCACAAAAATGATATTGATGATCAAAATTGTGAGAAGAACGAGGAGCTGAAAGAGGTCCACGTCCGCAGAGTAGCAGGCCTCGCTTAGCCGCTTCCAGGACATCAGATCATAGCTGTGCACCTTCCACTCATAGTGCAGGTAGGCCGTACCCAGCGCCAACAGGCAGCAGCACAGGGATATGCAAGGATAATTGTGATAGAAGAACTCATTGAGTGTGGCACGCAAGCTGCGCAATAGATTCATTTCTGCTATGGCAACGGCTATTGTCGGATGGATCGGACAATTCCGATTTTGTTTTTTTAGTTTTCTTCCGTTTTTCCTTTTCGAATTTTGAGCTAAACGTGCCGAAAATGAGTTGTGGTGTGTGAGCTACTGAGTGGAGTCCAATTGTTCGACGTCTGAGTGAAAATTGGTATAAGAGTTTACAGCGGTTGGCTGGCTACGCATTTCCCCTGCAACCCTCAATCCTGTGGATGTCAAACTCAGCGCACGCAACATGTTCGAGCTGTGTGCAGACCCTCGTCCAGCTGGCATACACAACGCCCCACAACTGCAACCTGCAAAGGACACAACATGTTGCCAGGACATTAGCTTGAGTGAGTTTTTGAGTGACTTTTGGCTGCTGTCGCTGCTTCTTTTGCCTCTGCTGCTGCTGCTGCTGCTGCTGCTGCCACTTGCGGCCAAAAATTCAAGTTGCAAGTCCAACGGTGTTTTCGCCAATCGCGACAACTTTTGCCACACGATTTTGAGGCGCTGATAAGGCAACAAAAAAAAGAGCAATTCTGGCTGTTTTATCTGCTGCTTCTTCTTCTTCCTTCTGCCTCCTTCAACTCCTGCTCATTATTGTCTGCCGCTTCTTTGCGGCGGCTCCCTGTGGCAAGTGCATGCAAAACTGCATTTTGTAGACGATTCGCAAGCCCAAAACTGGCAGCCAAAACGGAAATATTCAAAAATTTTGTTGTAGCTGTGCGCGGGTGGAACTGCCAAATGGAGTTTGGTGCGGGCGGGCGGGGGCGGTGGGAGCGGGGCATGGAACTGACTGGCAGTTACTGCAGCTGTAGCTGGGTCGGCTGGTTCGGCTGGTTCGGCTGGTTCGGCTGGGTCGGGTCTGCGGCGCGCTAATAAAAACGTAAAATTTAATGGTTACGGAAGGCACTAAAAAACAGGCTCACCAAAAACGAACTAAAGTCGCGGCCAAACCACCCACTGCCCGGACCAACCAATCGACCGACCGACCACCCGTCCGCCTTTTGGAGCGCTTGGGCGATAACCAAGCAACGAACCACAACCGCACACAGAGCACAGGGCGAAGTGTAACTACGCCAACGCCGTCGCTGCCACCACCCAATGACTTCGATGTAGACGCAGTGGAGCGCCCAGCCGTGCACGTCAAACGCAGACAACTTGAAAAATGTAGAGACAGCGCCGCAGTAGTTGAAACACGCCAAAAAATATGCAAAAGTAAAATAAAACAGACGCATTTGCCCCTTTACCAGCGACGGACAAACGAACCGATGGACGGACAGACGGTCGGACGGACGACAGGACGCCGGCACAGTCGACGGTCGGCAGCGTTCGACATTTGACGTTATAGATTTTTGGGTTCTGTTGTTTGGCAGCGGCATCGGCAGCGGCGCATTGCACAATATTTGCCCGCACTGCCCGCGACCTGCCACAGCCCAACTGTATCTTTTTTTTTAAATATTTTTTTCTTCTTTTCTGTAAGTTTCTTTTTTGTGCACAGCCGTTGTCCACTTGACAGCAGCGACAAGAAGCGGGCTGGCTACAGTGGGGTCTGCTCCCTTGTAAGTTACCCTATAAAACGTAGGTATTTGAAGAATGGCATTCAATTGTGCTTAATTAAAATTTAAAATTAAAAAACATTTCCATTTAAATACCTGACAAGCACTTACCCATACAAATGGATGATTATTCTGTTGCGTTCTTTAATTAGAAGGATGATTGACTTTCCCTTAAACACATACCCGAAAGAACAAAGGAGAGTAGAGAACGGATTAGAGCAAAGGCAAATAGGGCGCGAGAGGGAGCGAGAGAATGAGAAATGGAGAGAGTTAAATCAAAGTGGGACTGCAAGTCATACTTGAATTTATGAGAATCGCCTAGCAGGACGATGTTAAAAAAAAAAAACACCGCAGCCGGCAGTTATTACGGTTTTATACATACGTACGCATTAATGTACTTCCATGGAAGGTTAAGCTAGATTGCTAATACAAGGTTTTTATAACAAAACCTACTATGAAAGCTCGCCTTACTTGAATTCATGAGAATTGCATAGTAGGGTGGTAATTAAAAATATCCTTTTATTTTACACTTGCAGCGCAGCAAAGGTTCTAATGTAACACCGACTATCAAAGAACGCCTTACTTCAATTCATGAGAATCGCATAGTAGGGCAATAATTCTGAAAATCCCTTTATTTTACAGTCGCAGGGTCGCAGATTTTTCTTGACGTTTGAACATCAGTTTTTCATCCATTTTGTGGAAAATTTTAATTTCCACATCTCATTCGTAATGACCCCTACAACACAAAAGTTATTCTACGAAGTTCAGCAATGGTCTTGGTTTCGGACGTGCATTTATTACTGATTAGTTGGAAAAAACATTTTTATATATAGACATTTATAATTTTATCTCTACCGAAAAACTTCGACGAACTCTAACCAAACGGTGGAATATTATTTAGTTAAATGTAATATTATTCAGTTTAGAGAATTGCATAATGTATGCTAAATTTACGCATATTCTAAATATGTTTTCGTAGAGACTTTATAAAGCACCCAATATACCCAGTGTGTGTAGGCAATACCAGGGGGCATTTGCAGCCATGCGAAATGCAGCACCAGCAGCAGGAACAGCAGGAATGGCGGCTGTGAGTTGAAAAGTCAGTTGTCGCAATGTCTGACAAAGTTATGTGGCCTGAATATCTGGATATATATATATATGTACGGAGGTGTTGCCGGGCGCTGCAAATGGGGCCAAAATGCTAACGGCTAACATTGAGAAGGACTCGCTCTGTGAAGCTAACCCAATGGACAGCAATTTGTGCCGCTAAACGAACTGACAAAGCGACCATTGTGGGCGCCAAGAGTAGGACCAGGAACGGGGACGGGGATGCTCGGGGGCTGGGGGGTCGGGGAGGCCGGGTGCCGGCTTGTCTGCAGCTGTAATTAGGTTTGTCCGCTTTGTTCAGGCGTTGAACGCGGCGCAGTTACAATTACAGCAGCCAGTTACAAATGCAGGGCTGCAGCGTCAGCGCGAAAGTACGCTGCAAATAATTCACAATTGCGCTGCTTTATTGCGTTTTCCAGCACTGGGCTGCTTCAGCTTCGACTGTCGATGCGGAAATGTTTGCCTTGTTTACATCGCAGTGCATAAATTTGCAATTGCACGCACACGAATGCAGCGGCGCGTGCATTACAGCGAGCTCGAGGGTGTATGCGTGTGTGTGTGTGTGTGTGTGTGTTGGCCGGAGGTTCGCTTATTGTGCGCAATATATTGACTCAATAGCTGTGCGCCTCAAATTAGTAGAGGCTCCATTCACAAAAACGAATAAATGGGAGTAAAAAAAAAATCTGCATGGGACGCGCCAACAAAGTCGGACAACAAATTTTGTAGCTAACAGCATTTTCAAGTTTTATCGTTACGTGTCTGTGCGCCTGTGTGTGTGTGTGCGTGTGTGTGCAGGAAGCCATTGTGTCCTTGGCCCAGGCCGAATGGCACTTTTCAGATTGGGGGTGTCTGTCTGCCATGCACGCAGTCCCACAGCCCGATCCTCACACGCGGCACAAGTGCAGCCTTGTCTATTTAGCTGGCTGCATACTGAATGCACATAAATTGTCATGTTGTGCTCCAGCCAGCTCCATGGCCATGTGCCGGAGCATATTTATATTGATTTTCGCGCCCGACACTGGCGCTGCGATTCGAACTGGGTATTGGGAGCCAGCTGCTGGCAGTTGGGGGAGGGGAGGCCGAGCCGCCAGTTTGTTGTTATGTACTTTGGCTTTTCAATTTCGGTGCGCCCGAGACTCGTTTCAACGTATTATTTTAGTTTTTAATACTCTCACAGCGGATATTATGAATTTGTTATGAAAAGTGTTACACTTTGAAATAGATGTCTTCGAACCCATAAAAATATATTATTTATGCTGGGTCTAAAACAAGTCGAGATAACCGTGTCCGTCAAAGAGTTTGACTGCGAATTTGACTCTCTTTTCTTTTGCAAGCGGTAAATATGTCGAAAAAGGTCGGATATAACATATATCACACGCTGGCCATATAAAATATCGGTTAAAGATTAACTTCTTGAGTGAAAGAACTTATTTTCTTTGAAATATCACGTCCAAAATCAGAATTTATTAGTTTTACTTTGCTTCTTCTTCTTAAGCAAAACCTATCCCATATCGAACGACTATATCATTGAGATCTATAGAAAAAATCTGTTGGCAAATGGGTTTTTTAAATAGATAACTTTACTGTTTTAAAGATATTTAGATAAATCAAGGCAATTACGAACTTCACTATACTCCCAGCATATCTTCAAGCCCTATCATATCAAAAAATTTGATAAGAAGAAATCTTTTGTATGGAAGCACTTCCTAGCTCTATATCTGCAAGAGTATTTCATCGTCGCTGTGGAAGAGTTGCCGTTTTTCATATTTTTTTTTTTGTATTGTTCATTCCCGTTGTTGTTGTGCAGTGTTTGTGGGTGCACAATAAATTGAGCCGAAATTGCATCAGCAAAATTAACAGTTTCGTGTGCGTTAATAGACTTTTCCATTGGCCAACACAGACCGCAGAGCGCTGTTTAGCTGCTGGCGGATCCGCAGACAAGGGGATGGCGGTCATCATTGACCATTTGGTCGTTAGTCGGGCGCTAAACATATTTGGGAGCGAGCGAGCGTGAGAGAAAGAGACAGACAGCCGGAGCCTGTACACTAAATGCATTTTTGATAGCGTATTATATATGGGGTATCCGGTTTTCTTAAATTATTTTCAACAAAGGGGATTACATTTTAAGAATGATTTAATTGCTGTTGAGCTTTTTATCTAGCTTAAATCGTATTTAATATGAGATTTGTTTTGCCGAATGCTCAAATATTTTGCTTGGCTACAATTCAAGGGTAAATCTCATAGTGAGTTGTTGTTTACGCCAGGAAAAACCAAATACGCTTTTCTAATGAAAAGGAACAATTTATTTATTTACCAAATCATTTTTGTGCAATGGCAACTCTGTCAAGTGAGTAAATAATCAGGGCTGCAGGGAGAAGAATACTTGTCTGTGTTTGAAATGATGCCCTGTCTTTGGGTCCGGTTCGTGTGGCTGGTTTTTCACTTGCATATGC